AATATGATGGAATAACTGTACTAGAGATCAGCCATGCGTTTAGCACTGTGCCTAAAGCTTTGCATGTAATCGCAATGCTTTTCATATTATTAGGATTCCCTTTTTACAGATGAGAAAATAGCCCAGCATAACTGAGCAGTTTACCCACTGAACTGAGTCAGCAAATGACTGAGCAGGACCTGCACCCAGGAGGGTCTGATTTAGGAGTCAGGGCTTGCCCCACGTGGATCTTTTACTTACGAAACTGTTCCTTTCCAGCTTATACATCTTAACATTCTTACAGATGTCTTCTAGATGAGCTCTTTGGGAGAATGGGCTTTGCTTTGACTTCTTCACTGTTGGCTCTTTTACTGTTTAATCACTACATTAGTTAGGATTAGATTAAGCTGAGAAGCCCTGGTGGCACTATGGGTTAGGCATTGGGCTACTAACCGCAAGGTTTGTGGTTCAAACCCACCGGCTGAACTGAGGAAGATATCTGAGTCTGTCTGCTTCTGTAAAGATTTAGTCTTGGAAACCTTATATAGGGTCATTATGAGTCAGAATTGACTTGATGGCACTGGCTTGAGTTTTTGGGTTTAGGTTCAGCTGTGGGTATTCAAAACCTCAAGCAGCAGTGACTTAAACAAATCAGGACTTTGTTCTCTTTCAAGTTAAAGCAGCCCAGTGTTAAGCAGATGAGTGTTGGCCAAAAACCATGGGCTGTTTTCAGATGAAAGACATAATCCCAGGAGTTAAGGGTTTATGGAATCCTTGGAAAGGCTGGAGCAGGCTTTGGGTTGGATCTCCAGAAATGTCTCCCAGACCAATGCTACCAAAGTGGCCCACCTGGGCCATCCCCGTCTCTGGCACGGTCAACAGGCTAGGAATTAGGAAGCCTCTGTTGTAGCCGTTGGCTCCAGGAGAACATGTCCCAGCTGGGAACCTGGGTTGGGAGGATGCAGCCCACCCAGTGTTGGCTCGAGAGCCAGGCCAGCCCTGAGAAAGGACACCAGCAGAGGACACATGCTTCCTGTTCCAGCTCTCTGCACTCACGGAGAGGGAATGACTGGATCGTGGAATGGTGCTCACAGGACCCTCTGCGGCCTCCTGGCTGTGCTGTCCAGCAATGTCTCTGGCCCACTTACACCTTTCACAATTTGAGGAAGACCTCTTGTTGCTTGGGTCTAAATTGCATCCAGAACCATAGGAACTCTGAGAAATGCACATTTTAGCGCCTCAGCCTCTGCAGTGGAAAAAGTCACCCAAAAGCCAGGGCCAGATTGAGTTCATTGTGAACCTACCCTGGATAGCGTCACAAAGGCTTCCGGAATCCACCATCCTCAGCATGTTGTGTCTCCATTATTACCCAAGATGGTGGCCTGCACACTATTGTCACATCCACATTCCAACTCCAGGAAGGGGAAAGGGCAGCAGGAAGTGTGCTTGTCTGCCGTGGCCACGTTCTGTTGTTTAGAACTTGGTCAAGTGGCTGCATCTATCTGACGGGAGTCTAGGAAATGTAGTCTTTTTTCCCTTTACCAGTCCTATAGCTAGTAACCCCATTTCAAAACTGGGAATCTTGTGACTAAGGAAAAAGGGGAGAATGGATTTTGGGGATCAGCAGTAGCCTCTGCCACACCTCCTTGCGTGACAGCTCTGGGTGGTTTAGTTATATGTTCAAGATGAAGTAGCCAGCAACAATCAAGGTTCTATTCCAGAGCTTGAGCCTTGACCGTGGGGGTCTCATTTCTTGGAGATGACTTTGAAGCCTGTAACCTCTGCCTTCCCTGTGACCAGGTTTCCTCTGGATGGTCAGAAACCCAGTTTCTGAGTGACGTCCATTATAGGTGGCAATACAAAGCAGAAAAAGAAAGATCAGTTGTCCAAAATTTGAAATTAATTCCGGTGTAAATATTTTTTGAAATTTTGTCATCTCTCTCTTCTGGAGAAGAAGATTATTATTTTCTTTCTTTTTGTTTTTTTTCTGGTTTGCTAAGAATTTTATTTTTTAATTGTGGCAAATATGTAGATAACAACATTTGCTATGTCAACAGTCTCCACATTTAATTCAATGACATTGTCTAAGCTCATATTGTCCAACCGTAAACATTCCCAGATAATACCATTAACTTTAACAAAAGCGTAGCACCTACTAAAGACATCGATTCTTAACCTGGTCATTCATTTTCTTCCCATAGTCCCTGGCCCAGTCTCTGTTTTTCAAGTGACAAGAGTCGGCACAGGGGAAATTGGCTTGGGTTGGCGTAGCAATGGCGTGCCGTCCTTTAAGATCGTGACCACGTGGGATGGAGCTGGAGAACCTCGGAATAAAACAACCACTACTAGTGACCATAACATTACCATTGATAGCTTAAACCCTGGGACTCTGTATCATTTTGAAATATTTCCACAAGGACCAAATGGAACGCAAGGAACACCTCATACAGTTGACCAGGAAACTGGTAAGTCAATAGACGGTATTTTCAGTGAAATGGTGAGTATTATTAAGGGAAGTCAATAGAATTGAGGAACATTAGGTTTTCCTTTTAATTATCCAAAGAAAAATCTTTAAAACATTTTTATAACCATTCGTTAATGCATGTTCATTTTATTAAATACTGAAAAGCAAAAAGCAAACAAAAAACCAAAACAACACAACACATGTAAACCGTCAACTGGAGAGACTCCTTTTGAAAATCAATTCAACAAATAAAAGGAACTCAAGAGAGATAGGGCTTCTGGTGGGGCACTGTAGGATCAGCACTGGACTGCGAACCAAAAGGTTGGCAGTTCAAACCCACCAGCTGTTCCTTGGAAACCTGACACAGGGTCTTTATGAGTCGGAACTGACTTGACGACACTTAACTACAAGAACAAAAGAGAGATAGGAGCCGTGGGGGTGGGGGTGGGGGTTGGGTATCGCAATTCTAGAAGCTTCTGGAACTTCTCAGAGCATAGTTTTAGAGAGCGGGAACACACATGCACACTTGCTATATTGAATTGTGAAAGAGAGCAGGAAGTAGAAGAAAGGACAGAGAAGATAGAAGTGCCTTAGGTTGGGTTCTCTGGAGAAGCTAAGCCAGTGAAGCTGATATTTGCACATACAAAAAGAGCTTTATATCAAGGAAATGGGTCACACAGTTGTAGGGGTGGTCAGTTCCAAGTCTGGGGGTCAGATGTCAGGCTGGAGGCTTCTGACTCAAGTAGCTGCAGGGCTGATGAACCAAGATCGTCAGGTCAACCGGCAGGCAGGCAGGTCCGGAAGGTACGAAGGCAGACTGCTGACGACTCCCAGGTTTGGCAGGTAATAGAGCAGGCCGCTAACTGAAGGCTGGAGGATGAGCCAGAGAGATGCAAGATCCAGGCCCAGATGAGAGCAAGCAAGTTTCACCTGAGTGCCCCATGTGCTGGAAGCAGGTCACACCTGGAGGAAACTTCCTGTCAGTAGATTGGCTGTTCATGGCAGAGTTCATCATAGAGTTGATGGTGTTATGTTAATCTCACATGGAAGAGAACTACAGCGCAGCTTTCAAGCCACTGAGAATCCTGGCCCAGTCAAGTTGACACAAAACTTGATAACTATCACAAGAAGTTAGGATGTACAAGAACCCAGAAGTTTGAAATGGTGATGAGACAAGATGACTCACTGTTGGTGCCAGTAGGAAACATAAGTGGTGGTGATATGCCAGGTGGCACCCAAACATGAGCCAGGTGTCCTTACTCCACAGAATGTCTCTGAGGGCTTGACCTTGTCAGAGCAGAGTTCACCGATGACAGCTTACTGAGCCTGTAATGTGTGCTTCCAAACTCACTGTTGCCAAGTGACTTCCGACTCATCATGCTGTTGTTGTTAAGTGTTGTGGAATCAATTCTGGTTCATAGTGACCTGGTCTGGGTTGTCTGAGGAGTGGTTGGTGGGTTTGAACTTCCAACCTTGTGGTTTGCAGCTCAGTGCTGATCCTACAGCGTCATACCAGAAGTTCCCCAGAAGTTCATAGCGGCACTATAAAAGGTTTCCAAGATCATCAGTCTTCATGGGAGCAGACAGCTGTAGCATTCTCCCGAGGAGTGGCTGGTGGGTTTGAACTGCCAACTTTACTGTTAGTAGTGCTTATCCTATAGCATCACCAGAACTCCCAATGCAAATTTCATAGACAACTTAAAAAAAAAAAAAAGTTAGGTAGCACATCATTATTAAGTAAATTAGGGATCTAATTAAGATTTTCAGGATACTTTTACTTTGGTTCAGGAACTTTGAACCCCAATTTTTCTTTGGTTGATGATTGTGTCAGAATATATAACTGTCATAAGAGAGTTAGTTGTATGTGCTCCTACATGATCAGAGCTTACATAGGAACCTTACTAAGACGATTTCATCCATGAGCCGTGGTTGTTAGAACTGAGTAGTCGTGGAAACAGGACATGCCCATTAAGCTTTAATTGCTTTCTGAAAGAACAGACTTCAAGTGTTTCCGTGAGCCTGGCCACCTAGATTCAATTGTGTCAAATAAGAAGACAAGCTGTTCCCTTAGGTTAGCTACCGGTTAAGGCAGAACTATAAGTTTAAAGAGTTACATATATGATTATACAGCACATGGTTGTTGTTAAGTGCCGTTGAGTTGGTTTAGACTCATGGGGACTCTGTATAGGGTTTCCAAGGAGCGCTGGTGAGTTTAAACCACCGACCCTGCATTTAGCAGTCCAGTGCTTATCCTGTAGAGCCATATATATGATTATATAGCACATAGGTTTTAACGTTTAATAAGGTGACCTCTGGGGTCGTGGGCCAGATAACTTTCTCCCTTTACATAAAGCAAAACTTACCATTTTATGTCACAATATTTATTCTTTTTTCGGTATCCTTTTCCATGTAAAATGATAGAAATACCGTGGACTCTGGTATAAAGGATATATTTAGAATGCGTCACAATGAAACATCATTGACACTAGTCATTTTTAACGGAAGGGGACTGCAAATGTCTTGTTGCATTAACGCCCAGTTTGTGCTTCTATCATAGAGCCCAATCCAGTCTCGGGTCTTAATGTCACCTTCCTGGGGAACACGGAGGCTGCTCTCACCTGGACCAGTGGTAATGACACTGTCAGCTGCCAGTTGCTCCTTGAAGCCGCTGGAAGCCAGAAGGAGTTGTCTCAAGACATAGTGGTCATTACTAAGGACTTGAAACCAGGGACTCAATGCAATGTCACCATATTTCCTCTAGTATCCACTGAAACCCAGAGAGACCTAGAAGGTGGCATAGGTGAGTAATAAAAACGTACTTCCATTAAAAAAAAAAGGAAAAAAAAGGGAAATGTGGCATGGTGGCAACTCCTTGTTTAACTCTATGGGGGAAGGAGAGAGAATCAACAGTCCAAGGCAGATATCTGCCTTTTTGCCCGTTCCTCTCTCGAATTTTTAACCAGTTCCTACACCAGCCATCCCTCCTATGGTACTCTCTACTCCTCTGCCGGGTTTAATCATTATTGCCCTGGCCATATAAAACTTAGAGACCATACTACTCATGGAGTTTCCTGGGGACAGTTAACACATTCAGGAATGACTCGGGATACAGTTCTTTGGTCAGGACAGCTTGGTGTCCCATCCCCTGTCTCAGCCTTGGCCACTAGCAGGCTTCTTCCTGGCCCTTTAACCCTTGACCTCTCAGGTCTCTTGGGCCTCTTGGGTTGGCCTGACTGGGTCTCTGCCCTGCTTGGGCAAGTGTTATAAAGCTCTTCTCCAGTAGGTCTCCTCCAGTAAGCCTTGGCTTGAAGCACTCAACTCTCTCACTCTCTGTGTTGGTGTGAGCCTAGCTCCACCAAGTGCCAAGAGGTACCCCGTGGTAGCCACCGTGCTCTGCTGTTGCTTCTTGCCATCTTGTGCAAGAAGTCTTTGGTGTTAGAATTCTCTCTTCCTGTCTCCTGGGTCTTTATTGTTGTTGTTGTTAGGTGCCGTCGAGTTGACACCGCCTCGTGGCGACCCTATGCACAACAGAACGAAACACTGCCCGGTCCTGGACCAACCTTTCGTTGTTGCTTCCTGGGTCTAGGAGGTTCTCATTACAGGGACTATGGGCCCAAAGGCCATGTTCCACCTCTGGCTCTTCTTCCTTGGTGGTAGTGAGGTTCCTCTTCCTATCCACCCCTCTTACTGGAATTGACACTGAGTAAATAAATATTTTTACAAATTGTGTTTTTATATTTGTAGACTGTCCTAGTGTTTACTCCCTCCACATTTTAATTTGTTCCCATCCTTGAATGAGAAAGGAAGGAACAGTGAGCACTTTGGAGCTCAGAATAGAAATGGGCCTTGACGTGTTTTGTAGTCTGGAGTACAGATCGGCCCTTTAGGATTTTATCGTCAACTGAATACATGACAGGTGTTTTAACCCATGCAGGGCAACTGGTGTAACGTAGCACATCCTTGAGAAAAGATCTGAACAGCAGGCATGTCCAATAGGTGACTTCGGCGCTGACATTGGGAAAGTCATGTGCAGGTTTCATAGTACTTTCAATGAATCAAGTCTGTGAGTTGAGAAGGATGAGTCTTGATCCCATTTTCCACTCAAGGAAACAGAGCTACAGTGTGGGTGTTAGGATTCTTGAAGGCAGGTGCCAGAAACCAGGCTGTAAATGGCTCAGACTGAAAGAGCAGGTTCTTGGTTTGTGTTAGTCTCCCTGCTGTTGCTTCCTCTCCCTGCTTTTCCATATAGCTCAGGAGGAATGTCCACCTCTAGTCCCCTGTCTCACAGCCACACTTGCCCTCATTGGCAGGGGTCTGGTCCAGCGGGAAAGTGCTTTGAGTGAAACCCATTAGCCAGATTGGAATCATGTCACTATAGCTGGGAACACATGTTCAGAGCGGGGCTCGGAAGATGGTGTCCCAGAAGAAGGACAAGTGGTCTGAAATGGTTGAGTAGGAGAATCACTAGTGTATGTACTGCCCCCTGGGGTAGGGATAGTGGTAGTACAACTGGTTAACTCGCTTGCTAATTGAAAGGCTGACAGTTCAAGTCTACTCAGAGGTACCTTCGAAGAGCGTCCTTGGCAATCTTATTTCCGCCCCCCAAAATCTCAAACCCCTATGGAGCATAGTTCTACTCTGACACACATGGGTTCTCCCTGAGTTGGAATCAACTCAGTGGTAACGGATGGTTTTTACCTGGGGTAAGTGGATGGAGCAAAATATCTGCCAAGAGTCAGGGCCCTTTAAGGCTGGCGAGGAAGGGGGCAGATATTTCGTGGAGTGCTGACTGTGGGCATTTTCTGATGTATCATCTGGGTGGGGTAGGAATCAGGGAAGATGGGGGCTGTGTTTCTGTTGCAGTTAAATGTCTTTGCCTTTTGTGTTTGACACACAAGCCAACAACACAGAGAGGAGGACTGCAGAGGAACCATTATTCAGCTGTAAATCCACAGACTTCGCCCCTCATCTGGGGACCTGGGACACAGAAGTCTGGCTCGCTGGGTTAAAGTCCGGCTCACGGTACAAGGCCACTGTTTATTCTCAAGCAGCAAATGGCACCAAAGGACAGCCTCAGGAGACGGTGTTCAGTACAAGTATGTTGAGTTTTGTGACATGGCTTCTGCCAGAATTTTCTAGCATTAAACTTTGCTTTCTGTGATTCTGCTCCTGAGTTATTTCCTGCTTAGTAAGTGCTCTTGTCAGAGAGCGGTTCTTGGAGGAAGCTTCTAGACAGAGCAGATCCATTCAGGTCCATTGGACTCCCTAGCTCAGGCGTATCTCTCACTGAGCTCGAGGGGACAAATAACCAACTGCTGTGTGGCTGTATTAGGTCCACCCTATGCCTGTCTTTCATATCTACATCCAGAAGGACCATATTAACCACGGAGAGAAACGAACATCATACTTTCCTTTTCTAGATACTCATTTTGTTGGTGCTGGTTAAATTGAGATAAGAAAATGAATTTTTGTTTTTTGTTTTTTGGCCTGACCTTAGAATTTGTACTGATCTTTCTTTGGAAAGACCTGATGACATGCAAATGACTACTTGCTAGCTATAATTTAAGGTCCCCTGGTGGCACAATATTTAAGTGCTCAGCTGCTGACTGGGAGGTTGGCGGTTTGAATCCACCCAGTGTGTCTGCTGGAGTCCAGAAAACCCTGTAGAGCAGTTCCACTCTGTCACATCAGAGTCTAAGTTGACTTGACAGCACCTTACAATGACAGCAACAAAGCTGTAATTGATCAGCAGCTCCACTTGGCAAGCTGACTGGTGTCTGAAGGCTTCTTAGAGTGTCGATGAGGGAGCAGACTCTTTTCTCACAGGAGCTGAGATAGACACACCCAGAGAAGTACCTGAGGTGGCCCTGTGGAGCACCAGAAACGGCTTCTGCTTCTCTTAACCCCAAATACATCCTTTGAAAGGCTTTCATAGAACTGTAAGGGTCTGGGTGTGGCTGGAGGACCCGGGATGGAACCTAGTCAGGCATCTCGGACACTCAGGTGGGCTGAGCCCAGCAGTGGTGGATCCCTCTTTTCCACACTTGACTAGTGACACTTCTTCAGGATTCCGAGTCCCTGGAGAGAGGCCACGGATCTGCTTTCTGGATGGCAATGCCAAGAGGTAGGGGCCGTGGTGGTGCCGTGAGTTAAGCATTGCATTGCTCACTGTAATGTCGGCAGTTCAAATCCACCCATCACGCCTTGGGAGCAAGATAAGGCTTTATAGTCTCAGAAACTCTTTAGAGCAGTGTGGCACTGCAGGTTAATGAGCTGGACCCCAAGGTCGCTGGTTCACCAGCTTCTCCTTGGAAACCCTATACAGGGTTACTTTGAGTTGGAACTGACTCGTTGATACTTACCACCACCACCACCACCACCACCATTCCCCTTAGAGTCCCTCTGAGTTGGAATCGACTCAGCAGCAGTGCATTTTTCAGTGGGTTCCAGGAAGACGGACTCTGTCCCCTTCGCTTCCATGTGGATGACAAGCACTTGCTCCCACCCAGGGTGTTGTTTGGGAGGGGTGTTGGCTGCCACTATTCATTATAACCTCCATGACGTGCTGTGGGGAGCATGGCCTGCAGTGGTGCAAATGGTTAAGCACTTAACTACTAACCAAAAGGTTACCAGTTCAGACCCACCCAGAGCAGCCTCAGAAATACTATCAAAAGGCCCCTTCTTGGAAACTCTACAGGACAGTTCTCCTCTGCACACATGGGTTTGCCATGAGTTGGCATCAGCTTGACATCAACCACTGCCAACAGTAGGTGCTGTGGACACTGGGAGGCAGGAGCAGAATTTGGATAGCAAAACCCGAGGGAAGGCATCTTCTCCAGGGAGAATCTGGATTGGTGGAGAGAGGGAAGGACCTGCCGTCCAGATGATGGGCCCAGGTATGGAGGAGCACACAGGGCGCTGTGGGCAGTAGGACTGGGAACACGGAGCTTCAGCTCTGTTACAGAGACCACACAGCACCAGTCTGGGAGCTTTGCTCTCTTCTGTGGGTTAAGTAGAAGATGTAATTTTATAAGAAATATCAGAGGCCCACACATGTCCTCACACCTGAGAGAGTGACAGTGCTGAGGTGGGTGTTCAGAAGGATGGGCTTGTCATGAAATGAGAGACCTCAGGCAGGACACTGGACAGGGGCACCCAGGCACCCAGGCCCTCAATGATGAGGATTTGAGATGGGAGCCTAAGGGTGGGTGCAGAGGAAACGGGGAATCAGCAGTGTCTCAAAGACCCTGGTCATTCCAGGGCATTGATTTGATTCCTAGAAAGCAGTTACATGGATGCTTTGAGAATGGTCTAATCTTGAAAGAGTAAAAAAGGGGGGGCGGTGTACTTAGAGAGGAAGTGACTATGGGAACCCTGGTGGCACAGTGGGTAAAGGGCTCAGCTGCCAACCAAGAGGTTGTCCCTTCTAATTTGCCAGTTGCCCCACAGTAGAAAGCTGTAGCAGTCTGCTTCAATGAATCTCACAGCTTCAGAAACCCTGGGGGGCGGTTCTGTTCTGTCCTCTAGGGTCTTCTCTCTGTAGTGTTGGAATCACTTTGATGGCAGTGGGTTTGGTTTGGTTTGGTTGGAGACATTGATTAGCTAGACTACGTAACTTGTACAGAGCAAGATGTGGGCAAGTCCTGTTTGCTAGGAATGATTGCCTTTTCCTAGGATCTGAATTGTGGAGTGGGGAGGAGAGAATGCAGCCATATGAGGTGCCACTGGACCTCTTGGGGATGTGGTGGCCAGCAGGAGTGGCAGGTGGGAGGCTTAGTTTCTAAAGGATGGGGTCAGGTGCAAGAAGAGAGAAGTCAGGGGCTACTCCAGGGTTGTTGGTTACAGTTGTAGGTTGTTCTGCTTACCAGGTGTTTGTGCAGGAGGGTGACTAGAGCTGGAATCAGGTTGTGTGACCTTCTTCAAGCAGGGGCCATGGAAAGGTAATGCTCATTGCCTCCTTTGCAGAAAGGGGTCATGTAGGTTAGCACTGGCCTTGAATGTCCTGCTTTTTTAAAAAAGCATTTTGAGCAGGCCTACAGGATCAGTGCTGACATCTTCAGCTTATGATCACATGGATACGCACAGCCTCGTTGGCACTAACTGTCTTGGTGTCACTAGCTGCTGTAGACTTGACCCCTGACTCACGGTGTCCCCATACACAGCAGAAGCAGATTGCTCAGATCCCTAAGGTTTTCACTGGCTGATTTTTTGTGTTTTGGAAGTAGATGGATAGGCTTGTCTTCCTAGTCTGGGAGCTCCACTGAAAACTGTGTGCAAACAATGACACATGCAAGCCTCCACTGGCTGATTGAGGTATAATGGCCAGAATCAGACCGGTTCTCCCACATGGCCAGAACTCTACCACTGAACTGCTGCTGCCCTTCTGAACTGTGGTGGTGGTG